TTCTCCAGGCCTCTGGCCTGCTCCTGGGTTAGAACACCACCACGGCTGGAGAGGGGAGCCGTGGGGAGCTCGGAACCTTCTTCTTAAGAGACTGGAGCAGAGGCAGGGAGCCTTTCACCAGTTGCAGAGAAGAGGAAGGGTCCTTGGGAGAGGGGATCCGGGGTGAGGGCACCAGACAGGACTTGGGCCATGTCGGCATGGACTCCCCAGCCCCTGGCCACCCCAGAGGCTGGTTCTGTGGCAGAGCGAGCTGGTAGGGGTTGTTTACGTGTCTGAGTTATTCTCACTCCCTCCTTCCCCAGCTCCCCTGGGGGCGGCCAGACCTAAGTGTGCCAGGGGAGTCGATGGCGGAGGGTCTAACAGGGACTGGGACCCAAGGCCCTGCACTTGGCCTCCTGCTTCCAGATGGGCTCCGGGTTGAAACGGTGGGCTGGGGTGCCTGTGGTCTCCGTCTGTCCCTCTGGCCTGCCTCCTCAGAAGCGAGGCTTGTGGGAGAACCCGGGAGAGAGAGCTGTGGCTTGGGGCCTGGAAGAGTCCAGAGTGGGAGCTTGGGCTGTCCAGAGGCCTGAGGGCTTGTTGGCTTGGGCTCTCATCCCCAAAGGGGATGGGACTGTCCTGGGGGATCAGAACAGATACACCCCCTCCCCACCCCCAGAGGCCATGTCTGTCTTGTCAGGTCACAGTCCTTGGACTGGACCAGAGCTCTCGGGCCGGCTCCTGGCATGCCCAGGGGCTGATGGGAGTGGGCTGGGGGAAGGACCCCTTTTCCCACCCCCACCCAGTTCCCCATCCGGCCTCAGAGTCCATGCCACAGGCCACAGTCCTGGTGCCTGCCTGTCCTGAGCCTGAGGATGGAGCAGAGCTGGGGAGCCACACAAGAGACACAAACACAGGAGGAGAGTGACCCAGCACATGCACCGTGGACCTCGGCAAGCTGACCAGCTCCCCCTGACAGCCGTGGGCCCGGCCCCAGCCCACACCGACCCTCGCGCACTGACGGACACGCTGACACACACACTGCTGCTGAGAGCCACCGCAGCGCCTCAGCCAGCTGCCCTCTTGCCACCCCAGAGCCCCTTACCTGGGCAAGCACAGTGCCCCTCGGTGGAGCAGCCCCCTGCCCAGGGGTGGGCAGCAGGCAGGGCGGGGGAAGGAGCCCCGGAGAGTCAGGCCAAGCTGCCACTAATCCGGGCGGGGAGAGGGGGGGCACCCACGTCAGAGCGGGGACTGCCGGGTGGAGGGCATCTGAGGACATCCCCTCCCACACACGCGGCCGTCTGGGCACCTAGCCCTGCTTCCCCAGCCCCTCCATCCTTCAGACAGCTGAGGCCGGCCCCCACCCCCCACCCCTGTGGCAGTGTCTGGGGTGGGGGGCCCGGGGGAGGGGGCTGGGGAGAATTCTCCCAGGACCTGGGGGGAGGGGAAGGGGAAGGGAAGTGTGGAGATGCTCTGGGAGCCAGGAGGAAGCTCAGTGGCAGATGCCACCCCCCTCTCACCCACCCACCCACATCCTTGACCTAATTCCTCTTCTGGGGCCCTCCTCCTTCCTCCAACACCCACCCCCCAAATGAGCCTCCATTCTGCCCCAGGGCTCAGGAACTTCAGGCCTAGCGACACCAGCTCTGGAGCCCAGGACCCCCGGCAGCGGGCATCCTCCTTCAGCCCAGGTTTTGACCCCCTCCCCAGCTCCTGGGTCCCCCAGGCCCTGGTGCCAGTGGGGGATGGGCGCAGAGGCTGAGTGCTCGTCCCCTCTATCCCTTGGTAGAGGACGGTGCCCACCAGGACTCCCCTGCTCAACCTGGGCGGGGGCTGCCTGGGTGTAGAGGCCGAGCTTGCCGCAGTGACGGCTAAGACACAGCGAGTGGGCCAGTGAGCTGTGACACGGAGCAGGGAAGGGGACCAGGACACAGAGGTGCCACAGGCCAGAGGGACAGGGTGGGCTGAGGCAGGAGGTAGAAGAGCTACCTGGAAGGGCCAAGGGATGGAGGGAGGTGGGGCAGAGGGAGCAGGGGAGACCAGAATCCAGGGCCACCTGCCCCCAGGAACTGGGAGGAAAGGGAGGGGCCCTGGCAGCAGGCCAGGACAGGACCCAGCAGAGGGGCAGGGTGCTAAGGGGGCTGCCCTCGGTGGCTTCAGGTCCCTTCCCAGCCCCGATCCTGCCAGGCACACTGGTGGCAAGCAGACTGGGGGGTGTGGGCAGGTGACAGTACTGACAACCCTCCCCCGAGAGCCCAGGCCAAGGGCTGAAGGGTGGAACAGGGACCCCATCCAGGGGTGGCCGTGATGGGTGGTCCTCAAGGGGCATCTGGGCTCTGAGGGAGGCCCAACTGGTACTCAGTGCCCGAGCCTTGGTATCACGCGTATGGCTGACCAGGAATGCCCTAGAACTTGGACTTCTCACTCCTTCCCCTCTGACCCCAGGATGTCGTGTGACCCACGCAACTAGAGTCAGCCATCCATCCACCTATGTCATGGAGACCCTGGTGAGCCCCCAGGTGACGTAGGACACAAAGACCAAAGCACAAGGCCACTCCCGCCCTGGAGGAGCTTCTGGTCACTTGCTGCATTTGTTCTTCTAGTAACACTCTTTCAGGCTGCTTAGCTGTCAGGCCCTATGCTGGGGCTGTAGGGTGACTACTAGGGAGAAGAACAGGTTAACAAATTATAAGATGTTTCTAATCCTGCCCTGGGAAAATCAGGGGGGCTTCATGGAAGAGGTGATACTTGAGTGCAGAAGTCAGACAATAAGCAGCACTTCTCCACTGAATCACACACTCACAAAAATATTTCACTTCGGTTAAACCACTTGTTCTGGGCTGGAATACAACAGTAAGATGTCTGTTCTTCATGAAGTCACAACACAGTAGGGGAGAAAATACAATGTGCTCAAGGGGAAAAGAAAAGTACATGCAAGAACAGAAAGGCAAGAGGCCCAGAGGAGCAAGCAAGACAAGGCAGGGTGTGCCTGTGGAGCGCTTCCCAAGCAGTCAGGGGACAGTGGGCTGGGGAGACAGGGCACTCCAGGGGACAGTGGGCACCGGCCGGCTGTGCAGAGCCGGGACCAAGTGGAACACAGAAAGCTTCACCAAGTCTGCGGAGGGCCCGTGTGACCTGCCCACTGGGAGGAGCACTGTCCTGGGAGCAGGCAGGTGAAGCCCCAGCCCCTGAAATGCCCGCACTTCGGCCTCCCCCAGCCCCTTCTCCTGAGCCCCCGATTCCTTGGCCCCTTCACCATTTGTTCTTTGGGTTTGGGTCTGCAGAGGCTGCCTCCACTTCTGCCTCTGCGGCTCCTGCAGCAGGAGGCGTAGCCCCCAGCTCCCGGCAGCACCACTGTGGACCACCCGCTGCAGCCCTCAGATCCCCGTTTCTCATCTGTAAAATGGGTACAGCCCCTACCCGACAGGGTGGCTGGCAGCATTCAAAGAAACCAATCCCTGTGAAATTCCCAGTGCAAGGTCAGGCATGCAAAACGTTCCATCCACGTTAGTCTCCTTCTCCCTGCCTCCCAGGCAAGGAACAGCTCATTTACTTGGGTTCTGCATAGTGATTAAGTACTCTGGAGCCAGACAGCCTGCCTCAAAGTCCCATTCTGTCACTTACTAGCTGTGTGACCTTGGGCAAATCACTTGTCCTCTCTGTGCTTTTTTCCCCCCTTATCTGTGGAATGGAGATGATAACAATAGTTCCAACCTTCTGAGAGGGCGGGGGCGAAGATTAAATTAATATGTCGGGGGCTTGAAGCAGCCTCTGGTGTGCCTAGCCACACTCTAGCTGTGTGACCTTAGTCTTTGCATCCCTACCAAATCTAGCAAAATGGCTGGTCCCTGGTAGAGGCTCAGTACGGATTTTTGGAATGAGTTAATGAGGTTAGACAACACGGTGGTGCCAGGTAAGGCCACCTAGGAAGCCACTGAGCACCCACATGCGAGGAGCTAAAGCACCCCAGGAGATTAAGTGCTTTCTCCCAAATAAAACCCGGATGATCCCACACCAAGAGTTAATCCTCCTCCTCTCAGGCCATCCAAGTCCTCAGCCCTTCCCCTGCCCCTCATCCAGCACTCTCACCCACCTCTTTGCTTACTCAAAAGCAGAAAGGAAGAGCAGGCGTGGGGGTGGACAGGGGGTGTCACAGTGGTGACACCAGGAGGGCTGTCCCAGGGATCAGAGGGGGTGGCGTAGAGCCAGCCCAGCCAAAGAGCCTGGTCTCAAGAGAGCAGTGGAAGCTCCGGGGATGGCGGGCCACAGACCAGCGACCACAAGTAGCAGGGAGGGCCATCAGAGGAGGCCCCGCTGGAGCTCCGCATCGTCTCTGCGGACAGCCGCCAGCAACCAGGCCCCGGCAGGGCGAGGCTCTGGCCAGGCTCCCAGCCCCGCCCTCCTTGACCTGGAAGCTGGGGGCAGCCCAGATCCCGGCAGCTGCTGCCCTCTGGTGGCCACTGCTCACAATGCAAGCTACCCCTGAGGTACCTGTTGATGGAACTCAGTGGCTGGGGAACTACTGGGAGGTGATGTGGGACACCCCCACCCCAAGCTCAGGACCTAGGACTACCCCCAACATCCCCCCTCCACACCTTCACTCCCACTCCTCCATGGTTGTAGCTTCCTGGCCAGGCCCAATCCTGGCTCCTCTTTTCAGACCTCTTTAGGTCTCGCGGTCACCAGGACTCAGAGACTCCAAGAGCTCATTCATGACAGCAGTGACACCGCAGGACTACTTGTCAATACGGTCTCATCTGGCACTGTGTGCCCTCGGCCTCGGCCTTGGCCGTGCCTGACTGGGCTATATGACTTAGAGTGTGGAGGGAGGGGTGGGAGATAATCAAGAGAAGCAGAACACCTTTAGTATTTATTTATCAAAACATTCACAAGCCTGACCTCATTCACAACACGAAACACACAGCAAGGCACACACCCGGGGCCTGGAGCAGGCTGCCCAGTACTCTGGAGGACAGGAAGGAATGAACAGCTGGTGGGCTTTTGATTTCATCTGTAGCAGTTTTGGGGGGCTCTGGTCCCATACCTGAGAAGGCAGAGGGCGGAGGAAGGCAATAAATAGAACCCTGGGCCCAGCCAGCTCTGGCACCGTGGGTGCGTCCACAGCAGGACGCACAGCCTCTGCCCTGGCTCTAAGGCAAACGCAGGAGCCAGGAGGGGTGGGACCCAGGTAGCCAGTGCAGGCCAGCCAGTGTGCAGCCAAAGGAGCCCTGCACCTAGCCCGGCACCTGCAGGGCCTGAGGTAAGACTGGGCTGACTCCGCAGACCCTAGCTGTCCATGTCTGAGGGCACAGTCTTTTTCCGCGTTCGGACCTTCAAGGAGCGTGAGGTGCCCTGGGGAGAGAGCAGGTATACTGTGGGAGGTGTGGGCTGCGGTGTGGCCCACCCACCACCCTTACACTTTCCTTGCCACCGACCTCCCGGGCCAGCGGCTTCCTCTTGACCACACGCAGGCTCTGGCTTCGGCTCAGGGGCTTCTCACGGGGCCGCGCTGGTGGCTGGGGGACTACCTCGGTATCCGACCAACCCCCCTCCTCTGTGTCACTGTCCTGCAGGCCCCCTGCCCGGTACCCTGGAGAGAGGGGGAAATAAGCCTGGCCATTTGCACAGTCTGAAGGCCTGGGACCAAGCCAGAAGTCCCTAGCCCTGGGGAGGCCATCACTCTCGAATGACTCCCAGTCCCTCTGTTTACTCACCAATGGGTGGCCTCCGGCGGGGTACCTGGTCTTCCAGGTAGAGGGGGTCCTGGTAGGTAGGGGCAGGGGTGTCGGGGATGGAGCGCAGGTCCTGCATGGAAAAGCTCCGCAGGCGACCAGCCAGTGCGCCCTGACTCTGTGAGGGAGGAGGAGGCACTGCGTCACCTGCAAAGGTCGGGGCTCTGGGGGGAAGGGGCTTCAGTAGGGAAGTCACCCAAGGATGTGAAGGGCCACCCTGCAGCTAATCCCTGGGGCACAGGGCTCGGAACTGAAAGCAACTCAGCAGCCTTCAGCCCTTGGCCACTTGGCAGAAACAGGAAACTAAGGCCACAGGCACAGGAGCAGCATTCCTGCTCCTTCAGCCAGGAAGGTCTGCGCGTCCAGCTCTGCTCCTGCACCTCATCACCTGTCCTGGCACCCTAGCCCTAGCCCTAACTGCCACCTCTCGCCTCCCTGGCAGAAAGCTGGATGGGGTGGGGCAGGGGGCTGGGGCCCACAGCACCTTGGTGGCAGCCTGTACAGCAGCGGATGCAGCAATGTTGAGGCTGCGCTTCCCAAGGCTGAGCACTGTCTCGTAGCTGCGCTCTTTGGCCTGAACAATGTACGTGTCGATCTCCTGCAGAGCCGGGGGAGGAGAGCTCAGGAGGACAGCCAGAGGAGTCTCTCTGCCTCCACAGACTAAGCCACCAGTGATTGTCATACCTTCTGGTCACCCTGACCCAGTATGTGCAGTCACAAAGGCCCAGAATGCACCAAGAGTGAGGTTTCCCCACCCATTCACCCCCCCACCCACACCTCAATGAGGTGCCATTCCCCACCCCCAAGCCAACTTCCAGCTGGCACTTCACACCACTGGTCATTCACTGCACCCATTTGGTCAGCCCGGCAGACAAGGAGGCCAGGCCTTGTCAGGGTCCCAAAGTCAAACAGCAGCAGCCCTGGTGTTAGAACCCAGGTGTCCCTGCATCCTGAAGCGGGGTTTGGGGTTCTCTCTCTCCCCACACCCACCGCTAGGTCTCCCTCTCCACCTCCCCCAGGGTACCTTCTCATGACGGGATAGGGACGGGTGGACGAACTTCCGGTAAAGTAGGCTGGCCCCCTTCGTGTAGGGCGAAAGCAGCCACAGAACAAAGGCCATCTTGATCTCATAATAGAAAGGGAACCTGCCAGAGCACAGAGGGGCAAAATGAGCCCAGCAGCCAGGCCAAGGGTGGAACACCCCTGCCCCTTGGCCCACTAACCCCTGTGCCCAGACCAGGAGATAAAGATGTCTGTGAAGGTCTCGGCTGCCATGAAGATTGCAAAGATGATCCAGTACATCATCCACCGAACCTGCGGGACACAGAGCACAGAGGTCAGCCTCAGAGCCTGTGGTGCCAACACCGCCCCTGGCTGGCCCAGCCCAGAGATTCCAGAGAGCCAGTCCCGCTGCATTGTTGCATTCCCCCAAGCCTGGCTAGACAGGAGCCTCTGCGAAGCTGCCACTCATTCCTGTGCCCACCCCAGTGCATTTCACCCACTGGCACTTCCACAGCCTCCCAATGGCCTGCCCTCCTTCCACACCCCTTCAACAGGCCCATGCCTTCCTTCGCCACTCCACTCAGGATGTGCGACACTAGTGGGCCCTGGGAAAAGTGGCAGGCCAGCTCAGACCCTCCACACCTCAATAAGCCCCACCACACCCCCAACCCCCCTTAGGGCTGTCATCCCACCCCACCTTAGCTAAGCCCTCCTGCCACCTCTCCTGCTCACATATTCACGAATGTTCTTGGTCTTCACGGCCTTGTAGGACGCATAAGCTGGATACAGCATCCCAAACACCAGTCTGGAAGAGCAACCAGGGGAGTGTGAGGGGCAGCATGCTCCCCCTGTACCCTGACAGGTGGCTGCCTCCCCCTACTGGGGTGCCAGGGGCAGGACCAGCCCTGTTTTTCCCGCTTGGCTTGCACAACCCGCAGTGCCTGAGTCAGTGCCCTGGAGGCCACCTCTCCACCCTGCTGTTTACAAACATCCCAAGCCTGCCCAGGCCTGCACCTGTGGCCCATGGGTACATGATGGAGAGAGAACACAGCTACCAGACAAGGTGGGTGAGAGCATTAGGCTGTCCCCTCCCCTGGATATGCAATCAGGCCCAGAGCCACCAGACCTGGCACTGCCAGGCTGCAGACAGGGATATTTGAGCCAGGCGCTGGAGTACTCAGAGGTTAAGGGTAAGACTGAGTGAGGAGGCTGAGGCAAGGTTGGTGAGTCATGTGACTGTTCATATGGCAAGCAGGCCCTTGGATTCCCCACCCGCAGTGTGCCTATTACCTTGCTTCTGCCCTGGCTGGGATCTGCCTGTGGCCCTCAGCACCAGGCATCTGTCTGCAGAATGTGTTTGTGAGCATGTGGGTAGGGTTGCTTGGGGTCAAGGATTCTGGGGAGGAGTGGGTCAAGGACGCGGTGCCCAGGTGCCCCGTGCAGGCCCGCAGGTCCGTTAACCTTTGCGGTGTGTGGGGGGGAGGTGTGAGGAAGCTCAGGAAGTTCCCGGCTTCCACCCCAGAGGCAGGCTGACACCCGGGGAAAGAAGGAGTCTGAGAGTGGCCATACTCACACCACCAGGCGACAGATCATCCAGGACACCATCCTGACAGCCTTGGGGACGAGGGGAGGGCCCTCAAAAGACGCCCTGGAGGGCGCTCACGCGGGGGCTGGGACGGGGGCTCAGTGGTGGTGCAGGAACCCGAGGGTCGGTCCCGCTGTCCCCTGGCAAAGTGGGGCCCGCCGCCCACTGACTCCGACCTGGCGGTGCGGAGACTCAGGAGAACCCGGAGACCAGCGGGCTGGGGGAGGCGGTGGGCAGGGAGGAAGCGGCCGGGAGCGGGCACCGGCGGGCGCGCTCCTCCGCCCAGCCGCGCGGCGCTGCAGTTGCGGCTCGGACCAGCTCAGCCGCCGAGAACCCGGTGTTCGGCCCTTGCTGGGCGCCGCTGCTGGTCCCCGGCCGGGGAGCCGGGTCTCGGTCTACGCTCTTGCGGGTCGCCGCGGTCCCAGCGCGGCAGGCAGTCGGCACCGGCCTCCGGGGCGGAGTTTGCAACTCACTTGAAAGTTGCACGGAACTGGGTCCTGCCCAACCCCAGGGCTCCGGCGCGCGGCGCAGGCGCAGTGCGGCCCCGGAGGGGCGGAGCCAGGTCAGGGAGGTGAGAGGCCGGCCCCTTAAAGGGCGATGCTCAGCCGGACTCGAGGGTGGGGCCGCAGGGTAGAGCAGCTCTCCAGTTGGGAAGATTAGGCGGTGGGAAGGTGCCACAGAAAGGGGGAGAGACAAAGAAAACCTGGCCTCCAAAGTTCTCACGGCTCTTCATTAGCTTCTCCCAATGTTTTTCCTTCTCGCCTCATTTTTCCCCTCTGTAAAATGGGATAGGGAATGAGATGGATGGGGTCCACCCTGGAAGCCCAGGCACAAGCTGGCAGCAAACTTGGTTCTTGGTTGAGCGCAAGAAAGTTCCAGTGTTACACCACTGTAGACCGAAGTCAGTAAGCACCGCGAATCTGAGGGAGTCACCCCCCTAAGGATCCAGTTCTCTCTGGGGCATCTTTCCACGGCTCACACACCTGGACACGACTTTAATGTACCTTCTTCACTAGAAGTTTGAAATCCCATCTGTTCCTCTGAGTCAGGAATACAGATATCCCTAGGAACGCCACAGCATCCACGCTTGCGGTTTTGTACTGCTTTTATGAAGTCTTAATTTTTGCCAAGATCCCCTTTACCATCTAGGAAATGTGCTTGGTGAAGTCATTTGGCCGCCGTCACCCAGTGATGTTTGCTACTGGCTAACGCTAATTATATGGCCTGGTCAGTCTTCGGAGGGATCAACAGTGGCCAGCTGTGAGTGACCCTGGAGGGGGACAGGGAACTGGAGAAGTTCCTCTGGGAGAGAGGAGGACATCGGAAGAAGGGAGAAGATTCTAAAAAGAAGGCAGCCTTTGCTGCCTTTACACCTTCCCACGAGGGATTTCATTCTTTGTGATAGTACCTGCTTCTTGCCTCAGACGCTCCTTCTGAAAATGGGGAGAACAGTGTCCCCCTGTGCTGTGCTGAGGAGAGGGTGAGAGCAGAGTTGCCCCGGGGCCAGGGAGCAGAAACACATACCACTTTTTATTAGAGCCATAGTTAACACCCACCACCTATGAAAAGGATGGGGTAGGTAATGATGGGAGTCAGGGAAAGGAGGCTTTTGGGGGATAAATAAACACACAGTGATTATATGGTCTTAATTATTATCATCAATTTTATTGGTATTGCTGAGTGTGAGAGCCGGTAGTGAAACCAGCCCACAGGAGAAACTCTCCCGAGGCGGATGCCTTCCTCATGTTCACCCACCCCAGCCCCATCCCATGCTGGAGGAACAAGAAACGCCAGGGATCCCATCAGGAAGTCCCAGCCACCATCCAGCTAGAGGCACAGACATGGTTCTTAGGAGAAAAGTATCCCTGGTCTCCTTGAAGGAGGAAGGATGTGATTGATGGTAAAGGGGATCCGCTGGGAAACAGTAGGGAAGGGACATCCATTCCTCAGGAGGCACATGCGAATCCAGGTCCTTTGGTACACCTTCCCCACTGGCTGCCTTCGGGAGCCCCACGCCTGAGCTCATCCACTAAGAACAGCTCTCCTGGCCCATCTACGTCCACCTAGCTGGAATGGTCTCTTACATGGCAACTCCTGGTCCCAATGTTTGTGCTTGGGGGATCTCCAGGACTCTGATTTCTGTGGCCTTTGGTCCTGAGCTATTGACACAGTCACCCAGTTAAACTGGGTTGCTAAGCAGCTCTCTGGACTTATGAATGAGCCCCAGGGCAGGTGACCAAGCAGCCATGCAGCAAAAAAGCTGGGTATTCAGGGACCAAGGGAGAGAAATGTCTCCCATCCTTGGGGGAGCTCTCCCCTGGAGAGAGTGGCTGTCACAAGTGATGTTTACCTTTCAGCTGGGCAACGCAATGTCAACGCAATGTCAACGCGTCTGGAAGACTCGACTCACTGTCCCTGGCAACCTCTCCCAGGCACAGGCTAAGGGCCCATTTCCCATTTGCAAAAGCAGGACAGGCAATCCCGAGACGATGAGGTTTGGGAACTCTGGGGTGCCTGCTTAGCCAAGAGCACATGAATGAGGTTTGAGGAGGTAGAAACCCAGACCAGTCATCCATAGCGGGTGAGGCCAGGAGCAGGGTAGCTGGGCATCTGAAGTCAAAGGTCAGATGTAGGGTGCAGGGGTTTTCTCCAAAGATATATTGCCTATCACACAAAGCATGCCTCCCAGAGTCACCTGTGTACCTCATACATTCCCACAGACCAATACAGATCACAATTATGTGCCACATACTCTATTCAAAGAGCCTTATATATCTTAATATATATAATGCATTTAAATTTTATCATAGATGACCCTGTCAGGTATATATCATGATTATACCTATTTTATAGATGAGGAGACTGAGACACATAGGCAAAGTCACATGGCTGAGTGTTACTAGCTGCTTTTGCTCAGCTAGTAACAATGTCAAATGGCCACATCAGGATTCCAAAAAGTAAGTCTCCCCACACCTCGTCCCATACTCCCCCAAGGATGGGAGATATTTCTCTCCCTTGGTCCCTGAATGTCCAGCTTTTTGCTGCATGGTTTGAGCCCAGGCACACTCTACTACTGAGTAGTAAATACAGCCCAGCCCTTTTTATTTTTTATTTTATTTTGAGACAGTCTTGCTAAGTTGCTAAGACTGGCCTTGACCTTGACCAAAGCCTCCTGCCCCAGCCTCCTGAGTCACTGGGAAATACAGGCATGTGCCCCTGCACTGGGCTGGAAGTTTTCTCATCTGCTCTGCAAAAGGAGAAGTTGCTCAGGGAAGCCAATTGACTTGCTTGAAATCTCACACCAAGCAGAGGGACGGAGTCCAAATTCACACATGTGGGATCCTGATGGCAGAACCCAGAGGAAGTTCTGCCGGACGACACCGTCTGCAGTTGCATGGTTCCCTGCTGTCAGGGAGCTCTGGGAGCTCCAGACCTGGCGTCCATCCCCCGTGTCCACAAGTCTTCCCTGGAGTGATCAGTTAGGGGGTGGATGACCTGTGACACATTTGTGAAATATGTGACACATAAGAGACCAAAGGAGCCCTGGATAGCTAATGAGGTCCTGCAGAAGGGAAGTGGCCTATCCAGGGTGACACAGCTCGGTACCCCCTGCCCAAGGAGACCTTGTCTCCCCTAGGTACTATCCCCTCCTGTCTGTTGTCCTGACATGGACCCACACAAGGCAGCAAAAGGCATCCATTCACTAAAGACCGTAAGTGGCAAGGAGGTGACAAGGAGAAGGGGGGCCCTGTCATTCACCACCGCCATTTTGCCGTACCCTGTGTGCTGTCTTCAAGACCCCCATCTTCCTAGTGCCCCCAGAGTCACTTCCAGCCTAGCCCCATCGAACTCGTCCCTTACTCCCGCTTTGTCATGGCCTCTCCAACTCCATTCTCGGACACAGAGAGAAGCACTGACTGCCCACAGAGCCCTGGGTGTGTCAGGACGAGGTCCCAGAGGACCCCAATGTCAGGCAGAAAGCCAGGTACATGTCACCAGAACAGGAGTCAGGACATGACGGAAGGATGCTTTAGGGGGCTGGACTGAGGATGCGGGAAGTGGGTGGGCAGGGAGGCATGTAAGGGCCCGCGACAGCAGCGGGGAGGGCTGGCTTGACCAAGGTGGTAGCCGAGAAAGGACAACAAGTGGTGCCCATCTGAAGATTCTTGGGGACAAAGCATGGAGAGGAGACTTGGTGATTAAATAACAAGAGAGTGATGTTACCAGGACTCCAGGATGCCTCACATAGGGAGGAGGGTGGCGATAGAAGACATGGCTCATAGAGGAGCTGGGGGCAGCGGGTGGTGAGACGGACAGACTGCTGAGCTACTGTTTGCCATCATATGTCTGACCTCTGACAGAGGGACACACTCAAGTCTCAGTGAGTCCCAAGCCTATAATCTCCCGGAAGGAACATTGGCTGTGAGTCAGCCCAGGTGGAGGAGATTCGTCACCTTGGCCCAGCACCTGAGTGTCATGGCCGTGAACTCCTGACCCTAGCACCAGCTGACCTTGGGGGTCCACTTCTCTGAGGGAGGGGAACCAGGAGAGAGAGGGTCTGGAAGCCAATGCAGACTCCTGGGTGAAGCAGGGACAGATAGCCCAGCCCTGGCTCTGTTCCCAACGAAACACCTTGATGACATCTGAGAGCTGGCAATGGGGTGGAACTTTTTATTTGAAGCAAGTGAATCATAGCATTGCCCCCAATTGCCCCGGGCATCCTGCCACAAGGAGTCCCAGCAATCTGGACACTCCCCACCTCCTCCAGCCTGGCTCACAGAGCTCTGTTCCCAGTGCACGGCAGAGGGCAGCAGAAGCCTGGCTCCCAGGCACCCTGAGCAGGCCCCTCACACGCCCACTGCTCGCCTCCACCGAGAGGCAGTGGTCCTGGGGTATGCCTGTGTGAGTGGAGGGGTGCCAGGGCCCCGAGATGCTCGAAGCCAGGATCCATTCCTGACATAGGTGGCTCAGGTGCCCCAGCTTCTCTGGCTCGGCCAGCTCTTTCACGCCCCAAGGAGCAATCGCAGTACAGATCCACATTCCAAAGATGGAGAGAGCGGAGCGTAGTCCGAGCCTGAGGAAGCAATAGCTACAGAGGGAAAAGCAGAAACAAAACTTCCATCCCAGCAGTTTCCAGTCCCCAGGTGAGCTGGCATTCAGGTCACAGAAGGAAACTCCAGGACGAGGGTAGATGGCACTGGGAAGAACCCAGGGGTGACTGCCGCTGCTGCTGTTATTGCTTTGGGGCAGAGGAGCTTCATCCTCAGGAGGCCACACCAGAATCACAGGCTCGCCACCATTCTTTTCCTTTCCAGCCTCAAGGGGGGCACACTTGGGTGAGCAGAGGAGGAGCAGTGACGTGGGCCCCTCTAAGAAGAGTGCCAAGCAAGGAACAGAGGTGAGCCCCTCGGGCAGCGTGAGTCCGCATGTGTGCGCACGCGCCTGGACATGTGTATACATGGAAGTGGGAGTGGGTGACCAAGTGTGTCTGCCGGTGTCCACGTGTGCATGCAGAAGGGGCCCAGCATGGGTGGATGCACCTGGAAGAGTGACGGCTGTGGCCAGGGTTGCAACACGGAGTTGGAGCAGGTAAACACACACCTGGAGCACCCACGGGAAGGCTAAGCCGAAGAACAAGAGGGTGTTCTCCTCCACATGCCCCACCCACCAATCATGTGCATGAGAAAGGGGGTGTGGCCTCTGGGTGGGGGAGCCACATGTGCACACATACTACAGGACCTGGGTGCTGGGGTGCCTGGTGTATACATAGGTGCTCGTGCTGACTACATTGACGAGGAAAGGCTCCCCTGGGCTAGTTCATGATGTGTGCCTGGGCTCACGAGTGTGTGTGTGTGTGTGTGTGTGTGTGTGTGTGTATAGGGGCACAAAAGCAGGTTGGCCGCATGTGAACTTCACAGGCACATGTGCTGCTCATAGAGGCCCCCCCCACCCAGCCTCTAGCGCCAACCTAAGGAACCTGGAGGCCTGGGCACCCCTCTAGGCACTGAGATCCACCACGACGTGTCGGTACACCAGCGTTTGTCCCTTGAAGCTGGGGGCCAGGAGCAGCTGAGCATCCCCAGCAGGCATGTAGCAGAAGGCCCGGGGGGCCTGCACAGCCAGCTCCTGGAACCGCACAAACTTCTGTCTTCCCTCGTCCCACTGGTAGATCTGGGTGAAGGAGAAGTCGCTGCCCAGTGCCAGGTAGCGGCGGCCGCCCACCAAGAAAGGCTGCAGGGCCAGCGAGCCACGGGAGGGCAGGGCCTGCACCTCAGAGAAGCGGGTACCCTCCCAGCGCAGGATCTTGGAGTCACCAATGTAGCGGCTGAGGCACAGGTAGCTGTCGCGGCCGGCACGAAAGTGTTTTACAGCCTGAGCATCAGGCACCTGGGTCACTTCTCCCTGGGCCACAAACTGCTTCTGAGTACGACTCCATTGGTAGATGACAGGTGCCTGGGAGCTGCTAGACACAATCAGCCGTGGCTTGCCCTCGCCGTCCACAAACTCTAGGTCAGTGTCCCGGTGCCAGGCGTGCAGGGCCTGGTGGGAGTAGAAGCCATTCTGGTTCCAACGGTAGAGGCTGGTGGCACCTGCCTTGGAGCTGTCAGCCACAGCGAAGTACCAGTCCCCATCAATGCGGAAGGCCTCCAGGTCATTGGGCTTGCGCACTCGCTGGGGATCTATGTCCTGCAGCTTGGTGAAACGTGTGGTGTTGGGATCCCAGTGGTAAATGTAAGAGCCACCAAACAGCTGGGCCACAACCACATACAGCTGGCTGTCTACCACCATTGGCTTGCAGTGTACAGCTGAGGGGGCTGTCAGGACAGAGAGAGATGAGTCAGGCAGTGTCAGGTGGACCCCGCAGCTCCCACTCCATCTTGCTCATCAAGGAAGACCAGTCCCCACAACTCCGGGCCAGTGCTGCCACCCTCCTGGAATCATCCACCCAGGGCTCAGGGCTTGCTCATTTCTGATTGTCCACAGCCAACTGTCAGCTTTAGTATTGCCCTTGCTCCACCCTTGCCCTCAAGGTTCAAATATAAGCCAACACTGAGCACAAAATAGGTGTCCCTAGATATTGATCGAGTATTTAACCACATGTCAATTTCTGGATTATTACTGCGTGTAATCACTTGCACTAAGTGTAAACACATATTACCTCCGTTAATCACACAGAAAATGACTCTATTGTTTTGCTCATTTTACATAGAAGAAAACTGTGGCTCAGAGAGAGAAAGTGAGTTACCCAGACTACCTCATTGGCAAGTGGCCAGTTGGGAGGGTGAGAAACCCTACGCGCACCAAAAGGACCCCTTGATGTTTAGACAGTGGTGCATGAAAGCACATTCTCCCACCTTTGGAAGGGCTTTTACGTGCAGGGATGAATGCCCATGTGTGCTGTACACACAACCAGCTCCGTCGAAACCCTTCTCAGACACAAAGCTCACCTGGTGTAGGGCCCCTCGTTTCCACCTCACCATCCGGTTTCACCTACTCTCCTCCTCATCCAGACCCCACCTTTCCCTGGAGAAGCTGATGCAGGGTCTCAGACACACACTCACATACAAAGCTGTTGCACACCTTCTTGACATTGTACACAGGGTTCCCTGCCACAACACCCTTCATTTTTCTTTTTTCTTCTCCTAAGTATCTCGCAGCCTTCAAACCTCAGCTCCAACTTAGCAGATTCCAAAGCTGAGCTCATCAGCCTCTCCTGTCTCCTCCTCCTCTTTCCCTCTGACCGTCCTCTCCATCCTTCAAGAGTGCTTGCCTAACATACATGAGGCTGTGGGGTCCATCCCCAGTACTAAAAAAAAATAAAAAATGAGGCAGCTTGGGCATCCCCTCTGTAGGCCTTTCTTGATTGCACAGAGCATTGTGTTTAAAGCCTCCTCTTCTCATCTGCCTCCTGTACAGATGTCCCTGGCAGAGATCATGTCTCATCTATCCCTCTACCTGCCCAAATGCAGTGGAACTCAACCATGGGTCCTACTGCCATATTTCCCCAGCCGGGGCCCGCACAGCCTGGTCAGGCACAGGTACCTGGGATTCTGTCATAGTCTCGGAGCTGCCTTTCCACATAATCCCACTTCAGAATGGTACAGGCACTGGCGCCGGGCTGGGCCAGAGCCAGATAGAGGTCGCTGGAGTAAAGGAAGGGCTCAGCTGACACTGCTGGGAAGGACAGGGTCTGGTAGAGCACAAAATCTGCAGGGACAAGAGGTGTGGGCTCAGCACCAGAGGAGGAAGGTAGCGGCCACTGGGTGGATATTGCAGGGTGGGGTGGGCCACTCAGGTGGGGCCAGGGGCCTGCCTCCTACCAGTGGTGATGCAGTCAAATTCCCGCAGTGGCAAGTCCTGCACCTTGTGCTCCTGGAAGCGGGGTGGGCTGGAGCAGTAGATGGGAGCCACGGTGGTGTTGGTGTGTGACAGCCACTCCACCAGCCACTTCACCTTGCAGTCGCAATTGAGCGCGTTGCCCCGCAGGTCCCTGGATCATGGGAGCAGGGCAGGAGAGCACAGAGGGGACGGGCTCTGAGCTGCTCTGCCTACCCTGCCCTGTAGGCTTTCAGAAGCAGGTCTTGTCAAGGCTACTTGGGGTTGCTCACAGGCTGCTTCGCACCAGGTAGAGAGAGAGAGAGAGGCTCCCCTGGTGAGGATGCAGCCCTATGTGCACAGGTTTGGCTGGAGGAGTGTAGGCTGTTGCAGCTCCGCTGTCCTCCTTGGCCAGGTGCCATGTGCAGTGGACAGCCTGCACAATGCATGTCCCATTTCTGTTCCTCCAGCCTACCCAAAATTTAAGGCTTTTCATTTTTTTTGTATAAATAATGATAAATGATTGTGGCTATGCCATAGGACTTAAATGTACTCATTTTAAAAGCATATTTTGGGGGGCTGAGGATATAACTCAGAGCACATGCCTAGCATGCATGAGGCCCTGGGTACAATTCCAAGTACTGAAACACACACACGTTTTTGAAACATACACTCTGAGTGTCTCGTGTGCATTTTGAAAGGGCCCACAGGTGACTTGAGGAACCTCAATTTGGAAGGCTACTGTCTACATCTAACTCAGCCTCACTCCTCAGCCCCCAGAACCCAAAGCACTCCCAGCCTCTCAAGACCTTGTGACCAATTCTGACTCCCACACCACTCCCTCCAGGGGTGCTCCCTCTGTGGCATCCTCAGAAGAGTTTGGACTTGGGCCTTACAAGTCACTCAGGATGTCCAAGGGCCGAAAGATGTCTCTGGGCAGCGTCTGCAGGTTATTGTTGGCCAATGAGCTGCAAAAGAGACCTCTGGGTCATCTGAATATAATGACAGAGGCCAAAGGACAGAGAGATGCAGGGCTTTGGTCAGTGAGTGTATGCATGTGGGGTACTCACAGGTGTGTCAAGGACTTGAGTCCCCTGAAGGTAAACTTGGACAGTGCCCAGATGTCATTGTTCTCAATGAAACTGGAAAAAATGAGAAATTGCCTCAGCTGCTAGTCAGGAGTCCAGACATCCCCCCACCCCCTGGGGCAGTGATTTCCCTCATCCCAACCCAGATCCCAGCTGAGACAGGCTTCCACTGAGTTCAGTGTCATTAAGCCTGTAGCAATAGGGCATCAGGCTGAGTGGTGCAGGCAGAGGCATGGAAATGACCCCCTGCTCGGAGAATTCAAGGGCTCTGGCCTTCCACCCCCTCCCATCTTCTTGTTCCACCTCCCCTCCCAGCCCACCCAGGCTGGGCTCCCTCCTTCCTTCTCCTTTCCCATCACCCCTTTTCCTCCCACACACAGGTACTGCAGGTGTGACAGTCCTGTGAAGGCGTTGTCTCCGATCAGCGTAAACTTGTTGGAGTTGAGTAACCTGGGGAGACAAAGAGGGAATCAGGGCTTCTAGGGGTGTGCCTGCTGCCCTAGCCCTCTGTCTCACCCCTGGGCTTCCCCCAAGATCTGGCAGCCTGCCCCCTATACCTCAGGAGCCTAGCAGAGGACCCCTGAATTACCCGCATGGCAAGACCAATGGGAGCCTGTTCTGAATCCAGAAGCTCCCAGGTTCCCATTTACTCCTAAAAATGGTAGAGGGGCCGAGTTCTCCTGCCAACCTGGCTCCGGGGCTGCCCTTGTGACCTCTCCTCCTTGGCTCCTCACCCTCATCCCAGCCCGCTCCAGGCCTTGATGACAGCTGTTCTGTCTTTGCTCTCGTTCAGCTTCAAGCTCTTTCTTCAAACCCCAATCCCTGTCTCTAAGAGGCCGACCCCCAGTGCCCACTATGGCATTGGCTCAAGCTATTTCACCCAGTTCCCTCAGGACTCCAGAGGAGCTAAGTCCCTGCCCCAAACCCCACTTTCTTGGCTTCGGCCTGTCCTTAGTTCTCCTTCCCACCTGCTGCTCTGACTCATGACCCCAGACTGCTCCACCTTTTATGGCCTATCCTACAGGAGCAAAAGGACACCTGTATCCTCATCTCCAAAGGCTGCACTGCCCACTCTCCCTCATCCCAGCCCAGCATCTGTCCTCTTCTACTGTGCCCCCGCCCGCCCTTCCGCAAGGCCCTGTCCATACAAGAACTGCAGCAGCGGCAGGTGAGAGAAGGCTCCATCCTGGATCTCTGAGAAGGCAGCATTCACGAGGGTCCTGTAGGGGACACTTAAGTCATTACTGTGGGGAGTCTGCAGGACCCATGAAGGTGGATAGAGCAGTGGCTTCTGTTCTCATTGACCCTGCTCCCACCACCTGCACCTGTCCTTCCCTTTACCTCCCCAAATCACTGCCCTCCTTCTCCATACTCCTCCCCCACTACCTTCAGGAGCACAGGTGACCCTAGGTTTACCTTGGCTCTCAGCCAAGAGAAGGTTCCATTACCTGCACCATCCTCATCATCCAAACACCCACATGCTGGTGCTGAGGAGGGATGGGGTGCTGCGGTGGGCGAGGGGCCTGGCATCCTGCTCTCAAGGACTGGCAGTTTCTCTAGTCCCACAGGCAAGAGGGCGGGGGGGGGAGCCTTGGGGCCAGTTGCTGCAAGTGAGGCTGGCCCAGCTGGGTGCACAGCAGCTGGCCTGGTGGCGTGCCAGGGTACCCCAGGGCACTCTCACTTGTCATCTCTCCCCCTGCTGACATCCCTCCTCCCCCTTTTCTGCCTTTGGTGTAACACCACAGTCAGGGGCCTAGTGCTCATCTAAATACCCCTTCCACCAAGTCTAAAGCCCTGCACACAGTAGGTCTCACTGCTACTGGTGGTGGTGATGATTCACCCTTGACCATAAACTCCTGCTTTCTTCATCCATGGCTGCTGAGGCTGCAAGACTGCAGAGCTCTGTACCGCTGGGCCTGGAAGCCCCAGCCCTGCGGACCCCTGGGGTCCTCCTGATCTTTACACTCTGAAGAGCAAAGCAGGGTTTCCCCCATCCACTTCCAGAGAACTGGTCCTTGCCCTCCTGCTCCCATTCCCACCCCCAAGGACAGGTGGACACTCACAGGGAGATGACCTCGGAGGGCAGGTTCCTGGGCACTGCCTTAGAGTCCACACAGAAGGCGGTGTCCCTGGTGCAGGAGCAGCTGGGTGGGCAGGGGGGCGTCTTGGGGGGCCTCTTGGCACTGACTTGCAGCATTAGGCAGAAGCCCAGCGTGGACAGCGCCAGCAGCCCAGGCCCAGGGCCCCGCCTGGCCCGCAGCCCCGCCATGCCGCCTGCAGGTTCTCCCTCCAGCTACCCCCCTCCGGCGCCCCACCGCTCCCTGCAGGTTGTGCCACCCGGGCGGGCTGTCACCTCGAGCTACCGAGCTACCGCAGCTCAGCTCGGGCCGCCTGCCCACTAGACGCAGCGGACTCGTCCTGCCCTGGGGCGCCGGCTGCGGTCCCCTCCCCTGCTCGCTCCCGTGAGCTGGCTCGGGAGCGCTGCGCGGAACCCTTAGCTGCAACCGAGGGCTGCCGAGGCTGGGTGGATGCGGACTGCGGCGGGCGGCGGGGGCGCGCGCGGGGGCGGAGCGGGGAGGCCTGAGCCTGGGAGCAGCGGAAAGAAGGAGTGGTTGCACCCGGTGGCGGTGTGCCCTATAGGGCTCTTTGCGGCCATCTGCCTGGATCTGGTCCCTGGTTTCTGTGTGTAAGTGCATGTGTGTGAGCGTATACATGCGCATCCGTGCGTCTGTCTCTGCCTGGGGTACAAGGATCCATGTGCCTCGGTGTATCTGCGTGTGTGTCTTGGCTGTGAGGGGACATACAGTTCAGAAGCATGTCATAAGTGACACATGTACATCTAGGTTGGCATGAGAGAGTAGAAGCTCAAGGGTGCTTGTATATGTACTCGTGTTTCCCCACGCCACCGAATAGATTGCCTTTGAGTCTGGGCTGCAAGAGGGAAATGTAGCCACTGGAGCTGGAGTGGGGAGGAGTAGAATTCTGGAACATTTCTCACTGAACAACCTCAGCCTGTAGGAGCTGGGAAGTGCCTTGGATGTGTTCCTGTCTGGCGCTTTGTTTCACAAAGGAGGAAACTGAGGCTTGGAAAGCAGCCAAGCTCCGTATCTCTACTGTGTGCTGTGTACTGGGCATAATCCTCAGCCCTCTTGAGAGAGAGAGGATGCTAACTCCCTTTTACAAATGAGAAAAGTGTGTCTCCAGGACCAGAAGTCCAACTTCAAAGTTCACAGCAGTCTTGTACACCATGAATTTTCAAAGGATGGCTCTCAGAGCCCACTGGTCCTTGAGAATCTTCCATGGAGTCTTTGAGATCAAAATGCTTTTAGTAGCCAGGTGTGGTGGCACACACGCCTGTAATCCCAGCAGACCTTGAAGGCTGTCAGGAGGATCACAAGTTTGATGCCAGCCCCAGCAATTTAGTGAGGCCCTGTCTCAAAATAAAAAATAAAAAGTGCTGGGGATGTGGCTCAGTGGTTAAACATCTCTGTGTTCAATCCCTGGTACCAAAACAAAACAAAACAAACACCAACAAAACCCAAACAAACAAACAAAAAACGCTTTTCTTAACAAGAAGATGTTATTTGCCTTTTTCACTTCCATGCTTTTATAGGAGTACCTGGAATTTTCCAGAAATTACATGACGTGTCTTCTATTAAGCCCTAAATTAAAGAGATTTGCAAAAATGCAAAACAGTGACACTTTTCTAAATTTTTGCCAAAAATACAGGTATTTTCATTTAAAATGTACATGATTTGCTATAACACAAATAGGTTTGTCCTTACTATTTAAATAAGTGTTTTTAAATTCCTCAGCAAATACCAATATAGTAAATCTCAATTGATTTACTCACATAAAGCAAAAGCTCTTTGGGGTCCTCAGTACTTTTTGAGAATATTAAGGGATACTGAAACTAAAAATTTGAGCATTGCTGCTCTATACCATGACATCTCCAGAGAGGATGGGAGACTGAAGAGCTCATGGGTACAGGGTAAGAGAAACCTGGAAGTCAGTGCTGGGCTTCAGTCGAGAGCTCTGTCCTCCGTCCACCTCAGTGTAGGAACCGAGATTGCTGGTCCCCATCTGAACTCAACCTCTGCCAGCAGGGTGGATGTCTCTGCTCTGAGCTTAGGTTCATGTTCTTCCACCCAGGAATGCCCTGCCCCTTGACACCCACTTGCCGCAGTGTCCAGCTGTCTGTGCTGCCGTCCCCATGCCAGCCTGGGGAAGCAGTGGGGGTGGGGAGGGTGGCTGGGGCAGCTGGGCAATGATCCCCACCCGTCCCTGGCACAGCTCTGCCCAGCACACAAAGGGCAGAATGAATCTTGTCCCAACCCGTGCAGCTGAGGAGCTGGGAGGAGGAGACGGAGAGGCACACACAGAAGGGTGGCCACCATGGGGCTCTCCATCACCCAGAGCTCTCAGAGGGCAGCCCAGACACAGATGCAAAGGAGGAGTCTAGGTCCTGCTTAGCTAGTGATGGGTTCCCTGGGGGATGATGCAGGTGATGATAATGATAATGACTAGACTTTACATCAGTGAGGACATTGGAGCTTTCCAATGACCTAGGGAGGGAGAGGAGACAGGCAGTAGTAGTCCCATTTCACAGATGAACATATGAAAACCTAGAAAAGCAGAATGACTCACTGAGTCTCATAGCTGTCAGTGGAAGCACTGAGACCACCACTTATCAAAGGAAAGAACTCTGGACTGTCCAGTAGGAGGCTGCTGCTCCGTCTGGTGACAGTCTTGTGATTGCATATAATTAATTACATGTGGCTACGTGCTTGCTTCTTGTCCTTGGCAGATTCATAGGAGCACCAGGAAAGCATGCTTCTTTTCTGTTCAGGAGGGCAGCCTGGTTGGGAAGACAGGGCACACAAAAGCTCCAATGTGGGTACTAAGTGGCAGATAAAGGTACAACAGAGAAGTGAGAGGATTTCAGAGGAGGGACAGCAAGATCACAGAGCAGGTGCCTTGGCTCTTGGCCTTTTAGGGTGGGTGGCATTCAGATGGCTTAAGAATAGGCCTGGAAGACAGAGGTTGGTCTGGGGGTCTAGGTTGAGGGCTGTAGATGACCAGCTAAATGTTCCTCCCACTTCTTCCTCCAAGGAGCCCAAGACCTCTACCAGGTGGTATCAGCACCTGAACTTCATTTATGAAACTTGACAGCACCCTTCCCCAGCCCTCAAAGATAAGTTTTTTTATTTTATTTTATTTTTTTAAGCCATGAAACTGAGAGCTACAACCTGCAGCAGAACAGAGGACCTGGGAGAGAACTGAGGCTTTTTTCTCGGCACTACTCATGGCACCTGCTCAGAGCAATCCCCATTACCAGACATTGCGGCCCCCTGAGATGCCCACAGGGACCCCGAGATGCCTGCAGTTCTCCTTGGCTTTCCTGCTGGCCTGGCAAGCTGCCCACCTGGCTCGGGCCCAGTGCGTGTGAGTCAGCCATCAATCCCAAGGTTTCCAGGACAACTGGGGCGGGAGAGCAAGCCTGGGGGGCAGCAGGGTGGGCACTGCGGGGGAGCTGTCGCCTACATCTGGCACCTCCATACAGCTGAGGTCAAGCAAGAAGACACTTGCTCCCCCTCCCTCTCCTTCCCCCTCCCCTCCCCTTTCTCCACTCATCCTAGGATACTCTTCTGCTGGAAGCTTAGACAAATATTTAAAGGGGCAGTTGGGGGTGGGAGGAGCATGGTAGGAACAAACATTTCCTTCCCTCTCTTCTTCCCCTAGCGGCTCAGGGGCTCTCAGCTCACATGCCATGCTGTTGGACAACCTTGAGGCTGAGGCCCTCCAGCTGGAGAGGGATTCCTTTGGGGACAGGGGAGCCTGCCAGGGCTGAAGAGTAGGGGGCCAACTCCTGGTCAAAGAGCAGGGACAAGGTGTGAGGGAGCCTGGAACCTGGGTGACATTTTAGAGTTAAAGTGCAGCTGGTTCTCTGTATCCATGGGTTTCACATTTGCCAATTCAACCAAAAGTAGATGGAAAGTATTTGTGGGAGAAAAACACTGTCCGGGCTGAACATGTACAGATTTTTTTCCTTGTTATTATTCCCTAAGCAATCCAGTATAACAACTCTTTGCATATCATTTACATTGTATTAGGTATTATAAGTCATCTAGAAATGATTTAAAGTATATGGGAGGCTGACTGTAATCCCAGTGGCTAGGGAGCCTGAAGCAGGAGGATTGCAAGTTCAAAGCCAGCCTCAGCAACTTAATGAGGCCCTAAGCAACTCAGGGAGACTCTGTGTCTAAATGAAACATAAAAAAGGGCTGGGAATGTGGCTCAGTGGTTAAGCACCACTGGGTTCGATCTCCAATACCAAAAAAATAAAAAATAAAAAACAAAGTATACAGGAGGATGTACATAGTTTACAAGCAAATGCTATATGCCATTTTACATAAGGGACTTGAGCATCTACACATTTGGTGTATATTTGGGGAGGGTCCTGGAACTCATCTGCAGGGTAGGAGGGATTGCTGAGTAGGAGGACAAGAGAGTCAGGCCAAGAAAAGGAGGTGTTGTGTTCTGGGTCATACATTTCATGAAAGTTAAGGACTTTAGAGACCACCTGGCCCAGCAAGTGAAGGGGAGCCCAAGAGATAGGGTGAGGCCAACTCCAATGAGTCCAGCTCCAAGTAACTGATAGATTGAGCTAGTGCACTAAGCAGCAGGAGTGGGTAAGAGTAAGGCAGGGAGAAGGAGAGGGAGGTCTGGAAAGTGGGTGGGATGTGGGTACATACAACTCTCAGGGGACATTTAGTTTTGTTGGTTTGGTCCTGGGAATTGAACCTAGGGCTGCTTTACCATGGAGCCACATCCCCAGGTCTTTTTATTTTTTATTTTGAGACAGTCTTGCTAAACTGCTGAGGGCCTCGTTAAGTTGCTAAGGCTGGCCTCTGACTTGAGATTCTCGTGTATCCACCTCCCCATTTGCTGGGATCACAGGCACACACCACCTCACCTGGCTGTGTTTTGTTTTGTTTTGTTGGTACTAGAGATTGAAACCAGGGGCACTTAACCATTGAGCCATAGCCCCAGCCTTTATTTAATATTTTACTTTGAAACAGGGCCTCACTAAGTTGTTTAGGGCTTTGCTAAATTGCTGAAGCTGGCTTTGAACTCATGATCCTCCTGTCTCAGCCTCCCGAGCCGCTGGTATTATAGGCATGTGCCACTGTGTCCATCTGGCTATTTTGTTTTTGAGATGAGGTCTTGTTATATTGTCCAGGCTAATTTCTAATTTCTGGGCTCAAGGGATCCTCCTGCCTCAACCTCCCAAGTAGGGAGACCATAGGAGTGTGCCACTGTGCTGAGTAGCATCCAAGGATATAAAAGGAGTCCAGAGGGATAGGATGATAAGCCGGCAGGCAGTGTGGGCTGATTCAAAGACAAAAGATTGGGACCACACTCAGCCCTGCACAAGGATGTCCTGGCCTAGGAAAGCAGTGTCAGGCATGCAATCTGTCATCAGAAGCTTGCAGCTTACAGACCAGCCCAGAGCAAAGAATAACCCCCACCCCATCCCCACGAAAAGTTTTCCACCAGTGGGGACAGATTCTCCAGAATTAGGAGATGAATGACTGGGGGCCGGTTTGAGGTTAGGTGCGGGATGTGTGGGAGATGGCAGGCAAAGCAAACAGGAATTCAGCCCTTAGAAAAATGCACATTGATGGACACTCCAACTGATGTCAAAGCCCCTCCTGCCTTCAGCAGAGCCCCTCTGGGTCTCCTGCACTGCCTCCTGTGCCCGCTTTCTGCAGCCCATCACTACCCTCGGGGAAATTCTGTTGGGAACTGGGACCCTTAGCTGGGAGAAGTTCACCCTGGCAGCAGACAGAAGGGAAGCACAGGGCTGTATGGGCAGGTGCCAGCATGAAAGGCTGGATGCCAGGAAGACACCCACGGCAAGAGGTGCAGGTGGCCTCAGGGCAAGTTTGCTCAGCTCACCCAGGTTTGCTCTTGCTGGGGCCAAGAGGACTCATGTGCCAGGCATAAGGGCCCTTGGGGGCTCTTGCAGCTGGCTTATCAGGACCTTGGCTCTGGAGGGCCAGGAACAAACAGGCTTCAAAGCCGGGGGCTTGGCTCGCAAACAGGGGACCCTGCCCTTCACTTCTGTCCCCTCTCCCTGTGGGACACATATAAGAACCTGGTCCCAACTGCGAGGTGAGGAGAGGAGAAGGCCTGCAGCGAGATGGATGCAGGCAGCAAGGAGGTCTTGATGGAGAGCCCACCAGTGAGTGTGGTCAGCTGTGTGAGTGGGGGTGGTTGTGTGCACAGATGTGTCCTGGGTTCCGCCTCCTCCATCCTTCCTGGGTCTGTTTCTTCATTGATGTTCATTCACTCAACCCGCCTAGGACCATGCTAAGTTAGGGTGGGAACACCAAGACCACTGGCACAGAGTCCTTGGGGGAGAGAGACAAGGAAGCCCACAATTCCGATAAAAAGGGGCTGGGAGCCGCCACAGGGGTCATAGGAAAGGGCTCTAGAGAGCACTGAGAAGAGCCACTAAGTACTTGGGAGATCGTAGGAGAGAGTAGCGGCAGGAAGAAGTAGTAGCATGGATAAAGGCCTGGAGGTGCAAGAGCCTGGATCATTGGGGAACAGAGGTTGCCACAACTGGGGTTCTGGGGAGTCTAGAGGAAGTGGCAGCGAGCCAGGCTCTCTTGTGTCCCTTCTAACCTGGGCTTGTTGGAGTGTGGGCCACCTCATCCCAGCAGGCTCCTCTGATCTCAGCCTCCTGTGTAGATCCACAGCACTGGCTGTCCAGCCCTGAGAGGGCATGGGAGTGTGTCCAGTTTGTGCAGGGCAGGGAGGGGACATCCTCACGACCTCACACTTTTCTCCCTGCCTGCCATCTTGTCAGGACTACTCAGCAGGCCCCCGGGGCCAGTTCCGCATCCCCTGCTGCCCAGTGAACCTCAAGCGCCTTCTCATCGTGGTTGTGGTGGTGGTCCTTGTCGTTGTGGTGATCGTGGGGGCCCTGCTTATGGGTCTTCACATGAGCCAGAAACATACTGAGATGGTGAGCAGGCCCGGGATGGGGTGAGCAGCGGGCACAGGGCAGGTCAGAGGGGCTGCGTGGGTTGGGCACATAGGAAATCACCCAGGGGAGTGGGGGGGAGCAGGCAAGGACAGAGACGGGAATGGGTGACACCTGACCTAGCTATTTCCAGCAGGCTCCTGTCCCCCAGTGTGACAGCCAGTTCCCTCTCTCTAGCACCTGGTTCTGCTCACCTTCCCTGAGCTCTCAGGAAAGAAGGAATTTCTTTTTTGAGTGAAGGAACCTGAGGATAGGCAAGGGTGCTGAAGGGCCGAGAGGGGAAAGAAGACTGTCATGCCACACTATAACCCCAGGTCCTCGAGATGAGCATTGGGGCACCAGAAGCCCAGCAACGCCTGGCCCTGAGTAAGCACGCGGGTACCACTGCCACCTTCTCCATCGGCTCCACTGGCATCATCGTGTATGACTACCAGCGGGTGGGTATGCCAGTCCAGGGAACCAGTGACAAGACTTTGCTAGAGCCAACCAGCTGTGCTACTTCACTGCACCCATCTCTCCCTCTCCCTTAGCCCTTTTGCCTCCCTGGGGTGCCTGAATCCCAGACTCCAATGTGACTCCCTATGTGCTGTCTAGAGTGAGCTGGCTGAGGACCAGGGTTAGGGAGCCAGCGAGGCAGGGACTTTCCCAAATGACCTCTAGCATTCCATGCCCAGCTCCTGACTGCCTATAAGCCAGCCCCAGGAACCTACTGCTACATCATGAAGATGGCTCCAGATAACATCCCCAGTCTTGAGGCTCTCACTAGAAAGTTCCAGAATCTACAGGTAGGTGTGTAGGTGAAAGGAGTGGTCTGTCTCCCTCCCAGCACTGCAGGGAGGAGTGTTTAAGGTGACAGCTATTTGTCACCTGTAAAGCACCGCTTCTCTTGGACTGCCAGGTGAGTGTCCCTTTATACCCTCAACCAGCACCATAGCTTCCCTACTGTTCTTAGCTGCCCATGGTCAGGGTACTGACCTCAGCTGAGCCCACATACTCTCCGTGGGCTTCTGACTTCTTGTACTATACTTGTGGGGAAACTGAGGCTTAGGGAGGCTGCCCAACATGCCTGGGGTCCCCCAAAAGGGCTGCATGATGAGAAAGAAACTCAGTTTTCAGATTCCAAAGTAGGTTCTCTTTTCAGGCCAAACCTGCAAACCCTAAGCTGGGCCAGGAGGAGGGGCATGAGGGAGGCTCTGCTTCCTCAGGAGGAGACCTGGCCTTCCTGGGCCTGGCGGTGAGCACCCTGTGTGGAGAGGTGCCTCTCTACTATATCTAGGATTTCCAGGTGAGCAACTGTGGCTGCCAGGGCACTGAGCAGCAGCGGGAAGGTCTTGGGACATGTCAGCTGTCCAGACACTGGGGATGCCCAGAAACCAGTGGTCCAGGGAGCTCAGGGGAGGGAAGGCTCACAAGACATAGGCGTGGGCACCCCTGGGGCTCTGTCTCACACATGATAAACAACGCTGTTGCTTCACAGGATCTGTGGCAGTGAACCAGGCAGGAAAGATCTGCAACCAAAGGGGAGAAGCCGCTCTGGTTCACAGCCCAGGGTCTGACCCTGGAGAAACGGGAGCGAGGATGTGGGGTGTGTGGGGGGGTGTATGGGGGAGAGATGGTTCCTCTGGGCCAGGGGATTCCTATCACAAAAGAATAAAGCAACTGATTGAAAAACAAAGGGTCCAACTTGTACCTTCTGACACCTTCAAAGTCCAGATTGCTGGGGCTGGCTCGGAGATGGGGTGGGCCTTGGGGGAACAGTCGGGGTTTTGCCGTGTCTCCTCTGTCCCAAGAATGTTGGGGACTCAGTCCATCCCAGATTGGGGAGAGGGGGCGGTGAGGAAGGGACCCGGGAGCCATCCACGGGCGTGAGGCGCCCTCCAGTGGTGTGCCGGAGGGAGGGGCAGAGACAGAGACAGCGAGAGAGACCGAAAGAGAGGGCGAGATGGGAGAGAGCGAGGGTCGGAGGGAGGGAGAGACGAGGGATGCCGGCCCGACCACGATCGCAGACGGAGGGACAGAGGCTGAGGTGGCGGAGAGTCCTGACAGCGTGTCCCGCCG